GCTTTTGCCGGTCTCGAGATGAAAAATCGGTACAGAGGCCCAGCGCACACACAGACACACAGACACGCACACAAAACAGCCCTGTAGCTTTTGTGGGTCTCGAGATGAAAAATCGGTAGAGACGCGCAGCGCACACACAGACACACACACAAACAGAGATGAAAAATCGGTACAGACGCGCTGCGCACACACAGACACACACACAAACACACACACATACAGCACGCACACACACACACACAGACAACCTCTCGTCAATATGCGTTTTCTGCATTGCATAGCTGCAAAAAACGCGGCTGTTACACAGCACAAAACGCATAAAAATCGGTACAGACGCGCAGCGCACACACACACGCACAAGTCCCCAAAGTTTCAGCTCCGTAGCTTTTGCCGGTCTCGAGATGAAAAACCGATACAGAGGCCCAGCGCACACACAGACACATCGCAGCTTTTATAGGTCCGGAGATGAAAGTGCGTGACAGACGCACACACAGGCACACAGACACACGAACACACAGACAACCTCTCGTCAATATGCGTTTTTCGCATTGCATTGCTGCAAAAAACGCATAAAAATCACACAGACAACCTCTCGTCAATATGCGTTTTTCGCATTGCACTGCTGCAAAAAACGCATAAAAACGGAGGAAATATATAACAACAAAAAATCGAAACACAGACAACCTCTCGTCAATATGCGTTTTTCGCATTGCATTGCTGCAAAAAACGCATAAAAACGTATATTGCGGCGACCCTTGGTGTACGTGTATTTGTATTTGTGGGTGTGTATGTGTGTAGGTGTATGTATGTGTGGGTTTGTATGTGTGGGTGTGTATGTGTGGGTGTGTATATGTGGGTGTGTATGCGTGGGTGTGTATGTGTGGCTGTGTGTATGTGTCTGCGTGCGTCCATCCGGATATCTCAACTCAGCAATCAAGCAAGCTTCGGCGCCAAGATTTTGCCAGCGGATTCCCCGGCCAAGTGCCACCTCAGAACCGCAGTACCAACCCTCAGGCACGTCTGGGCCCCGCGTACGAACACGTGAAAGTATTATTGGGAAAATAGCTAACTTGAGAACCAGAAAGCCGGGAAGCTGGAATTTTAAAGGTATGTTCCCCGTGCACTTACAACTCAATGATTTCAGCTTCAACCCCAGATATGCATGGTTCCCACCTACGCCCCGTGAAAGTTCTTGGCGAGAAAACCGCTAACTCGGGAACCAGGAAAGCTGGGAGACTGAAATTTTGAAGGTATGTTCCCCGTCCACTTAGAACTCAATGATTTGAAATTTACCCCTCCCCCGCCCCCTTCCCGGCATGCGCGGTTCTTTCATGTGGCCCCGCAAGATTTTTTGGCAGAAAAAATGCTAATTCGGGAACCAAAAAAGCTAGTAAGCTGAAATTTCAAAGGAACGTTCCCGCTCCAAGCGCACGTGGTAGATATATGATTAACTTTCTGAAATTCGAGAACAGTATGTCATAAATTCTAGCTGTTGATTCCAAGCGATTTTACAACATGACATACTGCAAAAACGCATGATTGTACAGACCCGCCCAGTGCGCGTCGCCAATGATTTAGTATCCTAATCGCTTCTAAGCCAGACTCTTATGTTTGCTTGGGAGCATGTTTATAGAGTTAAGGTCAAACAGGGCAGGAGCGACGGACCACCTTTTTTGCCTGCTTAGGTTTACAGTGCTGCGTTGGTCTTTCATAAACGATGCGAAAAAGTTGCAACTAGATTCCTCGCACAGAACCGGGAGTGCTTCAAGATGTTGGAACAGGGCTCTGCACCCACTGTCCTTTAATATCGGTTTAAAAACACAACCTTGTGCTGCCGGCGCTGCTCCGTTATAGTCATTCATATTGATTTCTGTTACTCATTCATATCGATACTCTGTGAAACAGACCAATAAACATTAAAAAACAACCTCTTCAGAATTCGCTGTTGTAAAGGAGCAAGCACAAAAGCACTAAGTCACATTGCTCCAGCTGTGGGGACGGACCTGCTTGCCCTTTCTGTTCATTGAATGGTGCAAGCCAGTGGTAGGTGAGTGCCGTGTGATCAGATGCAACGCACTCCTGGTAAGTTCCTCTTGCCAGTTTAGCAGTGGCATGGAAATGCCGTACCTCAGCTTCAGCAGTATCGTGATTAGGGAAGCAGAAAAAAGCCTAAGCTTGCCTCACCTACAGGCAAGTTTAGGCTTTTTTCTTCGGCTGCGTGGTGGTAATCGACAGAAAAAATACTTTTGCTGCGGCAGCAAGTGAAATATCCACATTAAAATGCGCATTTGGGAGTCTGACATACGCACAAATAACTGTGTCCGAAGAATTCATTGTAATGTTAACTTTTTCCAGCTGAATTGCTATCGACGGATTTTTTTTTGATCCCTGTTATCATCTTCGCAATCTTCTTGGGTTTTATCGTGTTGCTGTTCATAATTGCAATTATATACAGGTTTGACACCGTACTGTTTTAGTTACTATTCGTGTAGCAGTCCTGCACTTTCCAAATCATTTTTGACTAGATTTCCCACCCCTCTCACTAAATTCACGCTTTTTCATTTGAACATTACACCTGCCTAAATCATCGCATTGTTTCTTTCAAAAAAATCCCAGCATCTTCGGGATAAAAGTAAGCGCAGCAGCACTTCCTCTTTTTTCTCCATTTACGGCTGTTTGCTGTCTCCAGAGTGTTCGCTGGACTGGTGCCTGAGTGCACAGTACTCGCAAAGTTGGCTTTCTCAGAAATAGCCTTTGCATCCCAGGCTTTTTTTCGAGTAGATTATGGAGGTGCTAATTTCTTCACAAGCGCTGTTTTTATGCGTGTATACAAAAGCGGAAGCGCATATTGGCAAGAGGCTGTGTGTGTATCTCTGTCTGTGTGTTCGCACTTCACCCGCTTTCAACTCAAGAACCAGAAACGGTAGAAGGTTGAACCTTGGTAGCATATGCCCACCACCTGTGCGACCCTTCCTTTTCAATATAACCATCCGTGTACACCTAGGTGCCGCATATGGACGCCTTAAAAAAATAAGCAAGTTTTTTGGCGGAAAAGCGATCTCGGGAACCAGAAAGAATAGAGAGCTGAAATCTTGCAGGGATGTTCTTTGTGAAAGCTTGAACTAAAAATTTAAAACTCAGCCCCCATGTCTGCATGGTTGTTATGCACGGGCACTTGAAAATTTTGTCTGGAAAACTGCTAAATCGGCAACCAGAAAAGCTGGAGGATTGAAATTTTAGGGGTATATCCCCCGTCCACGTACAACCTAAAGATTTCAAATTCAGTCCTCGGTATACGTGGTTCTCACGTGCGGGCTCTTAAAAGTTTTGATAGGAAAATTGCCCACTGAGCTAGGTCATTTTCAAAGAACGACCGTTAAACGGAAATTGTTCATTCCCTTTATGCAAAATTTACAGTGATTTTCGCTAGTGAGAAAAAAAAGATAGGTCTAAAGCAGCAAACATTCATGCAATTAACGACCTGAGTACTTCTAATCCGGTGCAAAAACGCATGGTCGCACCGGGGAGACTGGTGTATTCCATCCTGGGTTTCGAGTTAGAATATGAAAACGGGTTGCGAACTATTACCCCATCGTCCTGTTACTGATGTTATTTGTTCAGTTAAATTTTTTGATCCGGTTCGTATATTTCGCCAGTTCTGTCGTTTTTAAGGCATCACTTGATGAAAAAATATGGTATTGGTTTCCTACCATATGGCGCACAAACCATCGTCATTACACAACCAACTGGCCAAAATCAACAAAGTCAGTTATTACACTTTTCAAACACAGCGCTAAATCAAGCGACTGCTTTCCTCATCCTTCCTCCATCCTCCTTCTAATAGACATATTTAGAGTTCGATAGGAAGAAGCAGCTCAAGTTCACGCTTCGCCCTGTTTTTTGGCCGCTGTTTTCGGATGGTGTTACACAAATCATTTTCTTCCACAAACACGAATTCTCACGCTACAAATGTGTTTCGTATTTCTTTGACTAAACAATTGCTTGTTTTCTTTCTTGGCTGAATTTAGCCCACACCTTGCTCTGCACGACGATCATCGCAAATTAAAGCCTCGTCTACTTTGTCCATGTTGACACTAGCTTTCCTATTTTCATAATCCGCCTTAGCTGGAAGTTTACTGCAGATGAGCTAATGCCTGGAGTTGAAATAATTCCAGGAATGAATTCTTTCGACAGAAGGCAGCAGTTCGCCTTGCTACAGCAACCTCCGCAGCAAGATTACCTGCCGGGAGCACCAGCATCGGCGCCAGCAATGCCACCACCATATCCAGTTGACAGTCAGAAATCTTGAACTGTCACTGCGAGAAAGAATGATATTTGTCATTCATAACTTGGTATTTGAATTTCGCTTATTTATGTGTCGGATTTTGCTAATTCAGGTCACTTACACCGAAATTTACCAATAAAAAAGAATGTTTTTGTGTAAATGCCAGGGTGTGGTGAACTGAGTGGGATGTGCTGTTGGCAAAATTTGAGATTTCTTGCAATCATTCTCAGCACTAGCCCATAGAAAGCTGATCAGAACGATGTGCAAAATATCGTCACCCATAGTTTGCCTAAGCTGTACAAGCTTTGCTGAACAGTACCTCTTTTATTGCTTCACAGCGTCCAGCTCTGAGTCGGCACAATGCAGAGCGAAAACTCGACCTACCAACAGCTGTTAAAAAATGAACCAAACAATGCTGCACTTGCCTAGTCATGGTTACTCACATTATAAGGCATTTGAACAATATTCTGTAACTAGCGTCGGATTATTGTTAACCGGCTTTTCTGCTTCGCAGCCTCTATTGTGCATTTTTATACATTTTTTGCAGCTATGCAATGCGAAAACGCATATTGTCGAGGGGTTGTTTGCGCGTGTGTGTGTATGTGTGTCTGTGTGTCCGTCTGTGACGAGTTTTCATCTTGAGATCCACAAAAGCTACAAGGCTGAAAATTTGGTAACTCAATCTACACATACGTGCGGGCCCGTATCCTCAAAATGGACGCTCAGGTCCGCGTGGTTCTCACGTAGAGGCACGTGAAAGTTTTTTTGGCGGGAAAGCGTCTTCGGGAACGGCCCATGCTAGGAGGCTGCAACTTCACAGAGATGTTCCTTGGCTGCTTCTAATCCAAAGATTTCAAATTCAGCCTTTACGCACCCCAAGGCCTCACGTACACACACGTCAAAGTTTAAACTGGCACCATGCCAACTCCAGATATAAGCTGGCCAATATTCTGTAGAGAGCTGCAATTTTTCGGAGTTACTTGTCGTCTACTGTTGTGCCCATGAAAGTAAATCACTTTTCAGCTGTTCTGCATCTCATGTACGAACACGTGAAAATTTCACGCATGCGTTTTTGCAAATTCAGAATTGAACCAGCCAGACGATTTGGACTTTCTGAGCATAGCCGACGGTGGTCTTTGACCAGATGCACGCAAAAACGACTTACACATCACTTTCACGTCTCACGCACGTTTCGCGCGTACACGTGAAATTTGGCGTAACTTTGCAACCAGAGCAGCTGGAATGCTGGAACATTCTAAGCGTCACCCAGGACCGTATTTGAGCAACTGCGGACGAAGAAATCATTCACGTTGCCATTCACGCATGAACACGTGAAACTTGACGTAACTCCGCAGCCGAAACATCCAGAGCGCTGAATTTTTTAGGTATGAATTGGGAGTCATTGTAATAATTTCTAACAGTCGTGGTGGGCAGCCAAATTCTTTTAGCTAGAAGCATCTGCCGGGAAAAACGTGCCACTGGCGAAAAAAACCTGCGGGGAACTGTGCAAAAAACGCACCCCCGCACCTGCAGCCGGCACGCTTTTTATTAAGTTGCATATATACAGATGCAGAAACGCATACTGTGACGAACCCGGTGTGCAATTGAAATATCCACATTAAAATGTGCACTTGAGAGTCTGACGTACACACAAATAACTGAATCCGAAGAATTCATCATAATATCAACTTTTTCCAGTCAAATTTCTATCGATGGATTTTTTTTTAGATCACTATTATTTCCTCCTTAATATTCATGGGTTCTACCGTGTTGCTCTTGATAACTATTATAATGTACAGGTTTGGCACTGTACTGTTTTAATTATTATTCGTGCAGCAATCTGGCACTTGACTAGATTTCCTGCTTCTCTGACTAACCTTACGCTTTTACAGTTGAACATTACACCTGTCTTAATGATTGTATTTTTCTTTTTTTTTTTTTTTTCAAAAAAGATGGAGCTGCGCAAAACACATGATCACTCCGGCTACTTTGGTGAGCGCCGCTATTTATTTCTTCATTGATGAGATGCAAAAGCACATGCTGATGAGGGATTATCGGTATGTATGTGTATTTGGGTTTTGCCATTCATGTTTAACTTAGCAACCAGTAGGGAGCTGAAACCTACAGTGCTCACAGGCGAATTATAGATTTTAAATTCAGCGTGTAAGACACGCCTAGGTCACGTTGATGCATAAATGAAATTTTAAGCTGGAACGCTGCTGACATTTTTTAACACAGAAATAAGGCTGAGTAGGAAAAAGCGTTTTCGTGAAACTGTTTGTTGTTCACATGCAAGCGCTCAAGCACAGAATCAGCTTTTGCGTATACGTGCATTTCGCATTGTAGAATTCGCACACATTTAGCCTCATGTTAAGGCGTTTTTGCATATATGCAAATACAACCCAGGCTGGAACGCACCAGGCTTGCCGGTTTTGCACGAAACTCGCAGGTCGCTAATAGCAGGAGTAATCCCCGCGCTGCAGCTAAACACTTTGTCTCATATTGACCGCGCTTTGGTTTTTTCCGGCATGCAGCAGAATGGACATAGGTTGAGATGAGGGTGTTGTATTATAGAGCCACATAGACCTCCAGGTACATGGTTATCAGTTTTTTGCATGAAGCTCGGTCGCTTTTTTCTGGTAAATTCTCGTTCTTTGAAAAAGTGGAAAATGCAAGTTTTTGAAAAATGCAAATTTCCATTTTACTAAGAAGTGGAAGTATTGTTCGAGCGGTCTTTTGTTAAAAAATCCAAGTACGCAAATGAACTAATGTTCATTTACATATTTGGATGAGGGCGGTCGTTCGCTGCAAATGCACTCGTTTCTGATTTCTCGGTAAAGTTGAGTACTTCTTACGCCCACCTGCGGGGAATTTCACCTCCAAGCAGAATTAATACCACATTTGAAAGTAGAATATTCCAGCAAATTTTCAGCCTCGCAGTTTATCCGGTAAGCGAAATATCCACTTTGCCACAAATATCTTTGAAGTGCCCCAAGTTGTGGCGCTAGTGACACTCATTTTAGGTATACGAGTTCCTGGAGGGGCGACAAATATGCTCACAAAATTTCAGTCATTGTTTTCTGGCAAGTTTTCGAGTTAGCGCAGTACCACGTCGTAAACTTTGACGCGGTTGTACGCGCTCCACAAGCGTGCGCAACAGCTGAATTTGAAATATTTAGGTCGCACATGCACAGAGAATATTCCTGCAAAGTTTCAATTTTGTATCTTGCCTGGTTCGCAAAATCATTTCCCGCCAAAATACTTTGCATATTTTTTCCTGGGTCCGTAAGCGAGATCTAAGCGCGTGTGGGGAGAAATCTTAAAACGAGAGGATAACACACGGTGTGGGAACATATATCCAAAGTTTCAGCCTCCTAGCTTTCCTGGTTGCTAAGATGAAAGTCAGTGACAAAATGGACTCGCTTCCGAACACAGACACACACAGACAGCCTCTCGACAATATGCGTTTTTGCTGGCTGTAGCAGCACAACAAAAATGCATAAAAAGGCGTGTTGTGACAAGCCCAGTGTGTGTATGTGTGTACGTGTGTCTGTGTGTGTGCGTGCCTGTTTGTGTGCGTGCGTCTGTCTGGGTGTTTCAATTTAGCAACCAAACAAGCTCCGGCGCCAAAATTTTGCCAGCGGGTTCCCTGACCAAGTCCTGTCTCAGGTCCGCGATATCAACCCCCACACACATCTGTGCCCCGCGTCTGACCACTTGAAATTATCAGCGCGAAAATAGCTAGCTCGGGAACCAGGAAAGCTGGGATACTGAAATTTTGAAGGCATGTCCCCATGCACTTACTACTCAATGATTTCAAATTCAACCCCTAGATATGCGTGGTTTCTACGTACGGCCCCATGAAAGTTTTTGGCGGAGAAATGGCTAACTCGGGAATCAGGGAAGCTGAAGTTCCAAAGGGATGTTTCAAGCCCATCCACAACTTAAAGTACTCAAATTTAGCCCCTAGTTGTGTCTGGTTCTCACGTACGGCTCCGTGAAAGTTTCTGACGGGGAAATTCGCCAACTCGAGGACCAGGAAAACTGGGAGGCTGAAATTCTGAGGGTACACGAGATACTGCAAAAACGCATGATCGCGCGGGCCCGCTCAATGCGCGTCGCCAATGATTTAGTATCCTAATCGCTTCTAAGTCAGACTCTTACGTTAGCTTGGGAGCATGTTTATATAGTTAAAGTCAAACAGGGCAGGCGCGATAGACCACCTCTTTTGCCTGCTTGGGACAACAGTGCTACGTTGGTCTTTCATAAACGATGCCAAAAAGTTGCAACTAAATTTCTCGCACAGAACCGGGAGTGCCTCAGGATGCTGGAACAGGGCTCTGCACCCACTGTCCTTTAATATCGGTTTGGAAACACATCTTTGTGCTGCCGGCGCTGCTCCTTTACACTCATTCATATTGATTTCTGTTACTCATTCATATCGATTTCTCTGTGAAAAGAGCCAATAAATATTAAAAAACAACCTCTTCAGAATTCACTGTTGTAAAGGAGCAAGCACAAAAGTACTAAGTCACATTGCTCCAGCTGTGGGGACGGACCTGCTTGCCCTTTCTGTTCGTTGAATAAGTGCAAGCAGGCGGTAGGTGAGTGCCGTGTGATCAGATGCAACGCACTCCTGGTAAGTTTCTCTTGCCAGTTTAGCAGTGGCATGGAAATGCCGTACCTCAGCTTCAGCAGTATCGTGATAAGGAAAGCAAACCCGAGCAACCTCCGTCACCGTTCAGTTTTTCGGTTGTTTGATTTGGGCATGCTTCGACACCTTTTATTTAAATTTTTTTCCTTTAGCTTTTCCTTGCAAATGCTATATTTTGACGGCAGGCTTTATCCCGCAATGAAACACTCGTTACTGATATTTCTACGCTGATGTCGTGCCCTACAAATTAAAAGTAGCAAGAGTTTACGCATACTTCACTAATTTCAATCAGCAAGAGGTTGATTGCATTCTGTCTTAGGTCTGAATTCGTTCTTCCTCACCTGCAGGCAAGTTTAAGCTTTTTTCTTCG